TATTTTTAACAGAATATAGCTGGATGTATCCTATATTGGGTGAACCATGATAAATCACCGTGTCAATCTCTCTTATCTTTTCTCTTTTTCTGTTTTTTCGATTTTGTGTGATTGTCGATTTCCAACAGGGTTAGGGTTGGCTCGAAAAAAAATGAGACAGAAAATCCAACCGACCCGAGTCGGGTTATTGTTGGTTCAAAAATATGGCTCGTGGGTTGACTTGAAAAAATAACTCGCGAGGTGGCTCAAAAATTGGCTCGCGGGTTAGCTCAAAAATTGTCTCGCGGGTTGGCTCGTTTCCAACCTATTTAAATGAACTTGTAGTAATAATGCACGAACTATGTGGCTTCCACTAGCTTAAACAAAGGGTTACAAAATGAGAAATAAAAGCAAAATATTCTAGTTTTGAATTTTCTTCACAAGAAATTTGAACCAACATCAAGAAACAATCAGAACCACTTGCTACCAAGTGGGTAAGATATTTGAACCAAACAGAGCCAGCACAGCCTAACAATATAAAAATGGCAGGGATGTGAGAAGATTAGGGACTTAGGTTTAGAGAAGGAAGGAAGACGATGATAGCATGTGTGAGTTTTGTCCATTTTTGTATATTATATTTTGTATTATTTAATAAAATAAAAAAACTCAACCCACGAGCTCGCCCGTTTGACCCGCGTGTTGGCTCGTTTTTTCTCGAGCTGGCTCGGCTCGGGTTGGCTCGTTTCCAACCTATTTAAATGAACCTGTAGTAATAATGCACGAACTATGTGGCTTCCATCAGCTTAAACAAAGGGTTACAAAATGAGAAATAAAAGCAAAATATTCTAGTTTTGAATTTTCTTCACAAGAAATTTGAACCAACATCAAGAAACAATCAGAACCACTTGCTACCAAGTGAGTAAGATATTTGAACCAAACAGAGCCAGCACAACCTAACAACATAAAAATGGCAGGGATGTGAGAAGATTAGAGACTTAGGTTTAGAGAAGGAAGGAAGACGATGATAGCATGTGTGGGTTTTGTTCATTTTTGTATATTATATTTTGTATTATTTTATAAAATAAAAAAAACTCAACCCACGAGCTAGCCCGTTTGACCCGCGGGTTGGCTCGTTTTCCCCCGAGCTGGCTCGGGTTGGCAGCTCATTTTTGCCAACCCGACTCATTTTTGACGAGTCACGAGTCAACCCAACATTTCGATATTATCTGACACTCTAATATAGGCTTGGCAAAAAGGAGCCAACCCATCCGGTTGGTTTGTAACCCGACTAAAATGAGTTGGGTTGGGTTAGGAAAAATGAGTTAGTAACTCGAGTCAGTCTGACTCTTTTCAACTCGAAAAAAATCGAGCCAACTCACGGGTCAAATGGGTTGGCTCGCGGGTTATGTTTTTTTTTTAATATAAAAGTATAAAAATTAAAGAAGGTAAAGTCGAAAGCTAAAACCTAAAATCTCAATTCCAAAGACCCATGAAAATACCTTGCAGCTGTCAATAAGTCCAAAACCGTGCATTAAGGACCTTTTTTATAGTATGTGTGACAGTGTGAATGTGGTGTCAATTGTCAATTAGTCCAAGTCCAGATGCAAAAGGAACTTTCTATGGTTTATCTGTATAATGTCTTTGTATTGAATGAATTAATAATTTAGAAAAAAAATTAGAAGTTATAGCATCAATGCAATTTTATTTTTCTATTTTTTCGAGCCAACCCTAACCCTACTCGGGTCGGGTTGGGTTGAGTTTTCTGGCTCGTTTATTTTTCGAGTCAACCCTAACCCGACTCGTTTTTTTCGGGTTGAACGCAGGTTGAGCCGGGTTGGCCTGTTTTGCCAACCCGACTCCAATATTCATGGAAAGACTCAAAAAAAGAATTTAAAAATTGTGTTGCGTTACGTTTTTAGTTGATTTGTTAGATTATGAGTATCATTTTATTAAGTTTAGTATAAATATTTATAATATCTTATATTTCGTTGTAAAATTATTGATGGATATTATAAATTTATCTTTTTTTTTTATTAAATTATTGAATATTAAATATAATATATGCACTATATAAATTAAAAATATTATTCAATATCAAAATATATCTTAACATATCAAATTCTAATATTTTTTAAAATTAATATGTTAAATATTATATCCTATCATGTCGCATGTCGGTGTACAACTCAGACAAGTGCCGTAATGATATATTACGGGATACTTTTCTTCCTAGGCACGTACGAGAATTGGAAACTATTTACTCACCGAGGGCCTTTGAATAGATTGATGTGCAGGATAGAGGAAATTTGACAAGAAGACAAAGGGCGTCTTAGGCACTAATTAGGAAAGAAAGAGAAGGACCGCTATGAAAGAATTAAATTTTACAAATTTAAATAATTTAATAGCATTGAATTTTTTAAGAAAAAATTACGTAGAATAGAAAAAATATTAGTTGCACATGCTTGTGTTTTATATCTTTCAGTTTCACATTTAAAATTACGTTGCAAAATGAAAATGTATATAAATGATAAAAAATTATACAATAAAAAATAATACATATGTCAAATATGCAGGTAATAATATCACTTGTAATGCATCTTTTCAAGGTGACAAAGAAAGTATAAAAAAAAAAAACAGAATTATGTGGAACTGTTCAGTTGTTTTGGCACTATCTGCATGTTGTCATTGATTGATGAAACTTATTATTTAAGAATAAAAGATAAAGAGGTTAAGAAAAACCAACTAATGAGAAATACGCCAGTTGATACGTATACCAAAAAGTAAAGTAAAGAAAAGAAAAGAAAAGAAAAGAAAGGCTACTCAATGAGGAAGTCAGTCAAAAAGCAAGAGTACAATATCAAGATCCATTAATTACAGCTTAACGAGGAAGTCAGTCAAAAAGCAAGAATACAATATAGCTGTAAGTGGGAAAACTTAAGCTATAGGAAAATATTTTTCATCTTTCGCATAATTTATCTCATATAAGATATAAAAAAGTGGATGAGATATAATATCAATAGCTATTTATTATATTTAATAATCATCGTATTTATAACCTATTATTAGCTATTAGATATTTATTTTTATTTTTATTTTTGGAGAAAGCTATTAGATATTTATTAACTTAACCTTAACAAATCCTAACAGTATGTTGGTAAGATTAGTTTTTTTATTTTATTTTAAATTACTAATGGTTCCCAAAAATGTAACTAAAGAAGCTTTGAAACCTTGCCTTTTCGCTTCACCACTTATCAACTTATCATTTACAGCATTGACTACATTACTATGACTAAGCTTTGTTACAAAAGGTTTTGGTGAGCATATAACATTGACTCATGAGCAATTCTCTCAGCATCAGATGAAACACCAAAAAGCCCTCTCTTTGTGAACCCAACAACAAAACGTAGGATCAATACTTTTGAGGTTAAAACTTTAGGGGCTAGGACGGGATGATGTGGAAGTTGAGCACCTTGCCTTGATCATATGAAATATGCTTAAAACCCGAAGCTGTATCAGAAAGTCCTCCTTATATCAAAATATTTTTATTTTTGTACTAAAAAACATATATATTTTTATTTTGATAATATCTACAATTATAACAGTGTTATGCACACTTTTCGCTATTGTTCTCACATCGATAGTCCTTCTCTGAGTTGAAGCTTCTTCAGATAAAAAAATTCTTAACCGGACTTTTAAAAAAAAAAAAAATTTGTTATTTAAATGCATTGTTTGTCTGATTTTGATAAAGCGTTGAAACTTATATTTTCAATTTACAAAGCAAAATCCATGGCTCAATAGTTTTTGCATATTACCTGTATGATAAAAAAACCTGAACGATGAATTACACTACAGCTTGCTGAATGTGCTACTGTTTGTTTACCAGGACACTTTTGATTTGAACCTGATTTGGTGTGATGAAAGATTGAATTTCTTTTTAAATTACATTGGTGTTAATGAGAAATAGTGATAGCTGAGAATATGTTTTATTTGTCACTAGTAAGGAAATCAATGAAATTAAATCTGTACAACTAAAAGGGTGCCTGCATGTAAGCTTAAAAGTAAATATTGTTATGAATTTATGACACTTGTATTTGAATTAATTTATTTTAAAATTACAAAAACTATTTATTACAGTTTTTGAGAAAGTTTTTATAAAAATTAATTTTTTCAGAAAATGTTTTTCTTAACATAACAAAAAAATAAAACTGTTTGTTTTATGTTTTTGCTTTTTATTTTCAAAAAATATTTAATTTTTATATAAAAAAATTTAAATGCTGATTACAACATTTTTCTTCTTTTAAAAAAAAAAAGCAGAATTTTAGACAGTGTAACATTAGTACGAAGTAAATTTGAATTTATAAATGGTAAATCTGCTTAAAATTCGATGGATAAAACAAATTCTCCACAAGTTCAACCATGTGATGCAACTGTTATACTAGCACGAAGATTGTAACGAGAAATCAGGTTCGAATAGTTATTAAGAAATTGCAAACACAGTAAAGTCGCTTTGCTGATACACAAATTCAAGATACAATAAAGTCCTTGAGGATTGCATTTCCAATGTCTTCACACTTATCAACAGTGCTGATACCCGCCACAGTTAATTACATCGGTCATTCATCTTTCCCCATTTATCACCACCTTCCCTTCATTTGCTTTGCCCTCGAAAAACGTCTGCTACACATTTATATATATAAATATTAGCAATGACACCAAACAAACATCTTCAATATGCTTCTCATGATTGTTAAAACTTTACTTAATTTTACTTCATTTTCGATTGTGATATTCAGTTTATGGATATATTATATATTTATAGGGAAATTATACTCTTATGCTACATAAGAGTCCTATCTCATTTTACACTCACATAAAAAGACGTGCCTTTTTTTTCTTTCTTTTTTCTTTTTTTAAAAATTGATGGGTCCCACTTAATTTATCTCACAACATGAGATAGCTTCTCTCATACAACATGATAGAAGTAAAACCCATATTTATATGAAGAGTAATGACACCACCAATTACCTGGAGGAAATAACACCTGTCTCTGGCTTGTTCCCTAGACTGAGTTTCTTAAATGGGGTCTCGAATTCGTCAAGTAGTTCAAGCTCAAGCAAGGCATCCTCAATAGCCCGAGCCAACTCCTTATCATCATCAGCATTGTGGAAACAGTCCCTTTTCTTAGCATCAAGAACTACTTTTCCCCATACAGAGTCGCTATTGCTCAAAGTTGATGCATTTCCTATTATCCAAAGACAATATCTACACAAAATAAAACGAGTTTTCAATCCAGTGATGCATATTTTCACAAGTTCAAAGCAGCACAGCAGAATAACCATCATTATCAAGTAACATATATATATATATATACCTGGCCCTTGTTAGAGCCACATTTGTTCTACGCCTATTGGAAAGGAAACCCACTTTCCCACTTCCATTAGATCTAACAGTGGAGATTATTATAATATCTTCTTCAGCACCTTGAAAGCCATCAACGGAACGAACACTGACAGAGAAGTCAGGATCAGAAACCGAACTGTAGTGCTTAACTTTCTCCTGGATTTCATAAACTTGAGCCTTATATGGAGATATAATTCCTATGCTTACTTTCTCCCTTGTCCTCATAAATTCTGGGGGAAGAACAAAAAAAATATCATGTTAATAATGTATATGGTATATTCTAAATAAACCGTATAGCTAAAGATTTCCTTACTTAATATCTGTCAATGCAGGACATAAATTAACACACGAGAAGTTGAAAGAGAAAGGTAACCTTTTTTAAGGCTTCCAATTATGTGGGAGATAGCAGCAGCCTCAATCAAGTTCTTCGAACTGTTTCCACGATTGAACTGCTCTTTACCCTTAGATATGTTTATGAAAGAATAGGAAGAATACATTTCACCTTTAAGAAAACCCTTATTATAGAATATTTCTCTGACAATGGGGGCATCAGAAAGTTGTTCACCATAGAATTCTTTACTTGGGAATGAACTAATGGAGGGATGCATTCTATATTGGACATTAAGCATATGCTTCTCGTAACCCAACGATACCAGCCTCTCGAACAAACTTCTCCCAAATTCAGCCTTGTCAGCAATCTAAAATTTGATCAAATTTTTTAATAGCAACAATAAAAATTAAGGGGAAAAAAATAAAAATCTTTTAAACTCTTTTAAGTACCTTGCTTTTGACCAATGCAGGAAGCTGTTTCTCATCCCCTATGAGGATACAATGACGGAGGCCTGGTAGCAGTAACGGAATTGTTGATTCACATTCTTTCAGTTGTGCTGCTTCATCAATTACTAAAAATTGCACTTGCGTCATTCCTTCGGTGTACAATTTAGAAGAACTTGATGCCGTACAAAAAACAAGGCACGCATTCATCAAACAAAATTTTGATATTTCGGCTTTGCTTGAAAGGTTGGGAAGTGAAATCGACAGAGAAAATGAACTCAGGGTGCTAAGGCACTCTTCTCTTTCTAAGCTTGACCATCCAAAGCAGTCAAGAAAACATTGTTCATCTTCACACTCATGTAGATCTCGTTTGAACTTGGTTCGACGCATGGAAATTTCCAGAGAATTTAGTAAATCAAGAGCTCTAAGCATGTTCTTCACCACCATAATTGAAATGAAAGATGTTGGTAAGTGCGTATATAAGGTTCGCATTAATAACTTAATGAAACTGAAGTTCTGCTTTACAAACTGCTCCATTGTTACATTCCTTTTCTTCTTATCATGCTTGTACATATCGTATTGCTCTAGAATATAATCGAATTTCAGCTTCACAAATTGTTCTAATGTCATAGGATAACGACTCTTCTCAGTCTCACGTTGCTTGTACGAACGATATGCATGTTCTAATTCACTGCAACTTCGCTTCGCAAATTCTTCTAATGACATAAGATCCTCCTCCTCTTCATTCACATTATATCGAGCATATTCATTTACGGGATCCGTTAGTAACCTGATCACTGATTCCAAGTGATGTTTCCAACCAGTGAAAGGAGAAAAACATTTAAACAGATGATCCACTCGAAAATCTAGAAAGATATCCTCAAGACCAGGATGACAACCTATTTTCATTCTAGAACTATTGCCAAATAGCACAATGTCACCAAGCCCATATTTATCAAACTCAAGTGAATCCTTGACCATGCCGTGAAGGCGAACAGCCACTGTCACCACTGCAGTATTAGTTGGAGCACATGTCAATGTTCTGTTTTTTAACTTCAGCAGGGAAAACAGCATGGAAGCAACCGTCTTTGTTTTGCCGGTCCCCGGTGGTCCCCATATAAGCTTAATAGTGTCATTATGATGACATTTACTCATACTAACACAATTCAAAACCGCATCTTTTTGTGATTCATTCAGACTCTGATCCCGGATACTGTGATTTTCTCCAGAAAAACAAATGCGACATTGTTCTCCGCTCTGTAAAATGTAAAGAAAACATGAAACGTTTCTTTGGTAACTAAAGAAAAAGAGAAACTCATAAACAGAAGTATTCGGATGATACGCATATTGAAGCAAAGATATTACCATGCAGAAAATGTTAGTAGCATTACAGTATGTATGTCTATACCTGATCATATCATATCTGCTTGTTCTCATTTTCTTAAATAACAAAATAAGCATATCAAGAATAAATGATTTATTCTGACCTTTGAATAAGCTTGCAGCACTTTTTTAACAATGTTCGAGCTTGCATCCTCAAACTCTGAGTTCAAGGCTTTCCAGATACGATTATTTGTGGTCATGTTCAAAAGATAGACAGCATAAAGCTTTTGTGTTTTGTTTTTCAAGTCATGTTCAATATCCTTGCCCATGTACTTGGATGACAGTACGGGGATCTCGTCACTAAATCCATCTTTTGACTTATGAACATAAGCGAAATGGAAGAACCTTTTGGGCTTGTTCAAGTCATGAATGCTTCTCGGTCTAATATTTGTGAAGGCAATGAGATCTCCTCCCTCAGGCTCATATTTTCCTACATCTTCCACATTATTAGTCGTTCTCTTCAATGTAATCTGATAGAGCAAGTCTTTGGGATATTCGAAGTCCTTGGACCTTTCGATTGACAAGATCTCACAATAAGGAGCATGAGACACTCCTATCAAGCTTGACCACAGATCACTGTGTGTTTCCTCAATCAATGAAGGAATGAATGACTCCATGTAATCATTTGTTGACGAAAATGTCTGAGGGATTTTCGGCACCTGGATAAGAACAATGTTTAAAGCTACCTTAAAACATTGACATAAACGCTTATCCTAGGATTATGTATGGTAGAGACTTCCCTAATTGTATCTAAAACTATTTCAATTACTGCAAAATTTATTTCAGTTCAGATGTCGAAACAGAAAAATGAAGATAACATTTGAGGCATAAGAAAGCTAGTAAACAAGTAATTTTCAATTAGATAACATTTGAGACACAAATAAGCTTCTAACAGTAATTTCCAATAAAAAAAAGTGATAACGACAAAAGAATTAATGTGTAAAAAAAATGAAGGCATCAGCGATTGAAAAATATGTAAACAATTGCGTTCATAGTAGTCTAATATGCTTTCATGTTAGAGTTTTGAAAAGTGGAAAACAACCTCGTGTTTGAAAAGATTTTCGTTGAGAACATCATTTAGAGTCCAAGAGAATACAACATCTAACAAGCTGGGATTGTCTTGACGCTTTTCCCTTGCGTTACAAGTTTTCTCCATCCTTTGCTCCTTGCCGATCACTTTTAACTCTTAATCAATCTGTAGCACGAGCAATATCACTCACGGTTTCTCTTTGTTTAGTGCACATAACATAAATATACAGACAGATATAGAGAGTCGCTTACCAGTTAAGCTACTAAACTGTTTGCACAAAACTTGTTCAACAGCTAAACTACATTTACATATCCATGTTCGATGAAAGTGATAACAAGAGAAAAATATTGTCATTAGTTGTAGTAATAGTAGGCAACTCTACCAAAATAAAGACACAACAAAAGGTACAAAGATGGTAAAGGTGTGAAGTGGTTATCTGCTTTCCTCACCCTTTCAGATACATTGAAGACAAGTCAATTGCAGTTCATTACATCCCAGCACATTAAAGAGTTTGGCATTGTATAACAAATTTTTTTTATATATATAACAAAAAAAAAAAAAAGATTTCAGTTTTATGTACATGACGGTTGAAGAATTTTGCTAGTTTCATTCTATGAATAATTTTAAAATTGCTAGAAGCTTAACTTTTAAATAAATATGAAAATTTATTATCACATAATCATAAATAACTAGCAAGTTAAACAACAAACGGTAAGAGAAATACAATAGAATATCAATCCCCGGTTGAGATAAGCAGAGTACATACATATTATAACTTTCTCAGTGATGGAGTAAGTCCTCAGAGAGCACCACAATTTGGGGAAATGTTTGTGGAAAGAAGGTTGTATATATAAGTTGGGTAGACGAAAGCAATTAGTAATTATAGTCACATTACTATGTGGCTCAAATATCTATGTGTTTATTTATTATAAAGTAATAGCGTGTTTGTTGTTGATTAATTTATTCTATATATCCGATTTATATAAATAAAAACCTTAAAAAATACTAATACATTTAGAGCCCCCTAATTTTTTTTATTTTTTATTTTTTATTTTTATTAAAAGCGTCCCCTTAATTAACCTACTACTAATACGGGTAATAAATTTAAAATAAATGTGGGATTTAAGTAGAGGAATCCAAATAGACCTACGTAAAACAAGCGCGAGTATCTATAAGCTGCATGGGTTACTTGAATTGAAAAGTAAAAGATGCGTGCAGCTGTACTTTTTGTGGACTTTTAAAAGTCCATTTTCTTTTCATGCATGAACTGTCTTATGGTGCATCAGCTCAGTTGTGCACTCTAGTTTTGTGTAATAAATGTATAGAATTAACGTATATGGTGTTTAATCAAAGGAATATCAATAGATGTGAACAAAAATGACTCTTAAAAGCCACTAAAATTGATACGAGGGATTTGGATAGTTTGTATTAGATTATGTGTTTAATTCTCATCATTATATCCAAAAAAAAAATTGACTCTTAATAAATTCATCAGAAAGAGCTTAAATAGCGAGTAAGATATTAATCTTTCATTATATAGTCAAGTTAACTCCTCCCAATATAATAAGGTTATATTCGTATAAGATTATATGTCCAAAACATCGATGCCTCCAACATTTAAAAGGGAGAAAGATGCCTGCTGCCTCGTTTCCTCCCTTTAAGTTTTAACAATTCCTTTTGTTTTTAATATATGGACTGCATTACCGTGCATCTAGATCAGTTGCCCCAAGCTAATGGCACTGTTCATATTATATATATAGTTAGAATGTAAAGGGCAAATCGTTGAGATGATATGCTTTAAATAAGTACTTAATTACATAAATTAGTATAATGAAAGATCTTTCATGTAATCAATAGAGGGTAGTGTTAATAATGCACAATATTTGATGTGTAAATCTAAATGTTTTATTTCAATATAGAACTAGGCTTTGCTAAATATCAAACAAATCGACATGATGGTTGATTTCCAGCGCTGACGCAACGGATCATGTTTGTGCAATAAATCTCTTAATGAAAAAAGAAATTAAAAGTCATGAACAGAATTATGTGGAATGATTTCAGCTGCGTATTTAAGCTTAGGCTAATTTATTGGAAAATGTTAGTTTTTATTTATTTTTTTGGTAACCTGGAATATGTAAGTTACACATTGAATTGGTGTCACTATTTATTTGCTTTTATCAATTTTTTGGTTTCTGTAAATCGTCTACTCATCTTACACATAATGGTGCTTTGGGGGAATGAACAGATTGAGCATAATAGGCGACTTTTGGTGACTTTATACAACCTTGCGGTTTGCAGGTTATAATACTTCCGCACCACTTATAGTTTTAATTATAGAATTTTTACATGGAGATCGCAAGGGATTAAAGTCTCTGCTGTCACTTCAGATAAATATATTTACTGTGCACTCAAACTACACCGTTTTTGTCTTTTTATAATTAAAATGAATTACATCGTTATAATCATATCGTGCTATTACACTGTTTTCATTCACCTTCTCTGTTTCTTCCTTCATAAACTATATTCATCCCATCGCTATTTTTTCTTGCGATTCCTTATTCTAGCCTTGGGTTTTCTTGCGATTTCTTCTCTGTTTCTTGCTATTGTTTGGGGTTTTTGTATGTGAAATTATAGTGCTCCAATTACCGTTGTTTCCCTACTATATAATCTTATGTGCAGATTTGTGATTTGGGTGGTTGCTGTAATTACCAGTGTTTTTCCCAAGTTAATTGATTTGTTGGTCCAAATACTCATTACTGTCGAACATAATATTTTTTAAACATGGCATTGAAAAACGAAACAATAGTACACATAAGAAAAGAACGTTTGATCCACCAAAAAAGAAAAAAGGAAAAAAAGAACCTTTGTATAAAATCTTGACCTCTAATTAACATCAAATAGAAGAAAGAATGATATCAATGGTCCCCATTCCCATAGCAGGGCCAACAGAATCAGAAGCGCATGCTCCGGCTGCGACGATGGCTTCGCCATGAGAGTGGTAGTACTTGCGCTCTGTTTGAGGACAGTTAAAATGAAACCTTGCTACAATTATAGCGATGTAATTCGTTTTAATTATAAAAAGGGAAAAACGGTGTCGTTTGAGGGCACAGCAGGTATATTTATCTGATGTGACAGCAGAGACTTTAATCCCATAAACTAATTAAGATTTTAGTCATTTACAATTATACTTATTAGATAAAAAATAAAAAATTAATTTTAAAAATGCGTATTTTTTGCAAGGAAAGATAATATGATCTTATTATTAATTTTATTTATTATTATTTTCGTTAAATAAAAATATACAAATAAAAATAAAAAATTAATTTTTGGAATAAAAAGTCATGTTCTAATTGTTTTATGCAAAATTTATTATTTTGTTATTTTATATTTTTAGCGATTTTAATTTTAATTTAATAAAACTCATACATTAAATATTTTTACAAATCTTAATATATTTGAATAATTAAAAAATAATTAATATAATTAATGGCAAAGTCAAATTCTCTCTTGTCATTAAAAATCAATTTGAAATTTCTTATTAGAATAAAATAATGTATTAAATAAAGATACTATATTACTGTTAAATAATGATATTAATGAAAAACAATACTCATATTAAAATAAAACTATTAATAATTAAATAAATATGAAAAAATAACGCCAGTTAGCCATTCAACCTAACTAGTTTAACTAATATTAGTTAAATAAATGTGAACGCGCACGTATACTTTACATGAGTTCTAATATACAAGATTTTTTCGTTAATAAGGAGAAAAATAAAATTTTCAATCTATTATCCAATATAATTTTTTCATTCCATTTTTTCAAACATATCAACAGTACACTGAAGAGGCATAATAATTAGAAGGGAAAATTTCAAAACTTTTCATATGATTTTCTTTTAAATCACTTATTTCCTATGTTTTTTTAATCATTTATTCCAATGAATTTTTCATTCAAACCCATTCTTAATATTATTATAAGGGATAACAACTTCTTGGTGGAGAAGTTGTTATTTCGCAGTGACACAATAATTAGAAAAGAGAGAATGAAAAGAAGTGAGAAAAAAAAAATTGAAATGGACTCTGCCATTTAATGTATATATAACATGAAAAGTCTATTTTTCTTTGAAAGGAGAAGTATAAATCTTTTTTTATAAACTTAACTAATCTGTCTATTTTACCTTTCTTAGAGAAGAAAATTAAATGATCACCAAAAAGAAAAAAAAACCAAATATTGAAAAACTTACGACACTTACAGAAAAGTAAATAAAAAAAATAGAAGAAATTAAAAAGTTCAAAAAAAAATTTGTCTTATTTTGTCTTCTATTTTTTTTATCCTCAATTTATTTTCTCTTTTTTGATTTAAACATATTAAATATTTTTTTTATTGTTTTCACCTTTAGTCTCTTTTATCATTATTAAAAGAAATAGAAGCAAAAATAAGAAGGAAAAAATAGAATAAAATGAAATCAACGTTATACATTTTTAACATATTTGGTGTTACTTTTTCTTCTATTTTTTCTTTTTGATTTAGACATATTTAGTTTTTTTTTTTAAATCTTTTTTAGCATTGTTAAAAGAAATGTAAGAATGTATAAAAAAAGAAATAAAAGAAAAAAATAAGATAAGAAATAAATAAAAGGAAAACAATCAGTATTATAAGTTTCCAACATCTTTAATTTTATTTTTTTATTCTAAGTCTATTTTTTCTTTTTGACTTAAAGATATGTATGTCATTTTTTATTCTGTTTTTTTTCAGACTATTTTAATTTTTTTTTTTTACTTTTAGTCCTTTTAATTAGTGTTGTAAGTTTTTAACATATTTTTATTTTATTTCTTCTTCTTATTTTTAGTCCTCAATTTATTTTCATCTTTTTGATTTAGGCATATTTGGTAGGGGTGGCAAAATAAGTCGGCCCGCCCCGCCGCCAACCCGCTAAAAGGGGGTTGGTCCGCCTCGCCCCGCCTCTTGAATTTGGGTTGAAAACCCCAACCCGTCTCGTTTTATAGTTGGTTGGCGGGTTAACCTGCTAAAAAAATAAAAAATAATTAAAAATAAAAAATATATTATATTTTATTAATATTATAATATTACTTATTTTCATATAACATTCCTCTTAGTTT